TATTTATCTACATATATCATCTCAGGCTTCTATGATTTGGATCATTGGTGAATATGCGGAAAGAATTGACAATGCAGATGAGTTACTTGAGAGCTTCTTGGAAAGTTTTCCTGAGGAGCCACCACAAGTGCAGTTGCAATTGCTGACAGCAACTGTCAAGCTTTTTCTAAAGAAGCCAACAGAAGGGCCACAACAAATGATTCAGGTATCTGCCAATTTAAGGCCATATCTAGTCATTGCTGATCTGATATTGCATCTTTGGTGCTGTATTAGAAAATAACTGATTAATCCTTCTATTCAATAAGTAATAAGAGGCAAAGGGCAACTTTTAGTTTGGTTTATTGTAACCCAGTGCTAAATATTGCCGTGCTATTTGAGCGGTGATGTAACTGTTACTGAAGCTGGAAAGTGACGTGCTTGTGTATTAAACTACAAATGGTGATCAATATTCGGAAAAGAAATAAGAGTGAGGATTAGACATATTGAGGGATTGGGCTTTGGAAATTGATAGCCAATGAAATATAGTACTTAACATATGCAAGGATTTAATGGGATTTGATAAGAATTTAATTAGGGCTGTATAAATCCAATAATTGTCCACTCTCCTGTGTATTAACTGTGTTCTAATGGGTAAATATGTGATGAAGATTTCTGTAGTTAGAAAATAAAATCATGGTCTTCCCACAAAAGAAATTAGTATAGTTGAGTTGGACATTATATATTCCATTTTGTTGTAACCTTTTTACTGATGCTGCCCCTGGATGTTATATCTCAGGCTGTTTTGAACAATGCCACCGTTGAGACTGACAATCCTGATTTGCGTGATCGTGCTTACATATATTGGCGTCTTCTTTCAACTGATCCTGAGGTTAGTATGGTGTAATTAATCTACAGTGTTGATTTGTTGAGTATTAATTTTTGCTTTGTTATCAAAGAGACTGGGAATAATCAGTACCACCCATTAGCATTTTTAATGATGCTTGGGCAATCGCTTTGGTTTGCTTGCAATATAAAATAAATAAATTAAAAAAAAAAAAAAAAAAAAAAAACAATTATGAGCATCTTTTATGGTTGCTTCTAGGCACCTGCTTGCAGATAAATAAAAAAATCAAGTAGGTAGCTCTCCAGTGAAGGATTAAAATCAAATACCTTTTTTATCCTCCAACTGTGAGCTACCTGATTGATATTTTCACTTATTTGCAACCAGATACCTAATGGAAACTATTGGAGATGCTTTAATGTCTTTCATATCACTTACACAGTTGCATTGATCTATTTTCTTGTTGCAGGCAGCTAAAGATGTTGTGTTAGCAGAAAAGCCTGTGATCACTGATGATTCAAACCAGCTTGATTCTTCTCTTCTTGATGAACTTCTTGCAAATATTGCAACTCTATCATCTGTGTATCACAAGCCACCGGAATCATTTGTAACTCGTCTCAAAACAGTAGCCCAGAGAGTTGAGGAAGAGGATTACCCTGAGGGAAGTGAAACTGGATATCCTGAATCTCCTGCACATCCTGCTGATGGAGCTACATCACCTACATCAAGCTCAGGATCTAGGCAGCCATCAGCTTCTCCACCAGTTGCAGCTCCTGTTCCTGATTTACTTGGTGATCTTATAGGCCTGGACAATTCGAATTCTCTTGTCCCAGTTAATCAGCCTGTACCAGCTGGGTGAGTGAGATGTGCCTTCAGCTTGAAAAACTTCTCAGCATGAAAGTCTGTATCCATAACGTTTTTGGCGAACTTTTTACTTCTAAAGAAATCCAAAAGGGGAGGGCTATTCACTCACAACTTGCTAGTAAGAGTCCATCAAATGATACCATAGAACTAGGAAAACTATCAAACCAACTACAACTACCCACATTTTGAGATAAGTCCCTTTCTCTGTCTGTACTTGGAGTTCTAGCTTTCTTTGATACCAGGCTCTTCAGCATGGTAGCCTTTTGCCAGTCAACGCATGGATAACTTTATTTAGATTACCCACCCTCTGGTCAAAAGCCAAGAAACGCACTCATAATATTATCTAGAATTGAATGTAAAATACTAAGGCCTTCCTCTTAAAATAAAATAGTATTATTTATGCATGACCATGACCTTGGCTCGGTTCATGCTTCTTGAAATTGCCAGACATCAAAGCACTGAAGCACCTGTCTTGCTATATTGTTGGAGTCTTAAAGATTGCTCTAATCTTGATCTGCTTTTTGTGAACACCTTTTCTTTTCTTCCTGTGCAGACCTCCTTTGCCAGTGTTATTGCCTGCTGCCAAAGGTCAAGGTTTACAAATTAGTGCAGAACTTACGCGAAGAGATGGACAAGTGTTTTACAGCATGCTATTTGAGAACAATACGCAGTCAGTCCTTGATGGGTTCATGATCCAGTTCAATAAAAATACATTTGGCCTTGCAGCTGGTGGACCTTTACAGGTACATGTTGCTACCTGGAAAGTCTTTCCTGGAAAATTTATCTTGTATGTTTTTTACAACTCACTATTTTTTTGTTTGCCAGGTTCCAGCGTTGCAACCTGGGACATCAGAGAGGACTCTTCTTCCCATGGTTCTATTTCAAAATGTTGCTCCCGGGGCTCCAAACACTCTACTCCAGGTGGCAGTAAAGAACAACCAGCAACCAGTTTGGTACTTCAGTGATAAGATTTCATTGCATGTTCTCTTCACTGAGGATGGCAGAATGGAACGTGGAACCTTTTTAGAGGTAATTTTTTTTCAGTCTTTTTTAATCAAGTAAGCTGCCGACCTTATTCTCATGCTGCTTGATATCAATGTCTGTTTTTCACTGCTTATATAGTTATTTTATGAATTAATTACAGAGCAGTATACAAAGCTAGTTTCCCATTCATTTTCTGTGAATAGTAGTTAAATATCCCTTATAAGCTGCTCTGTAATTTGTTAGTGATTGGGTTTTTACTTGGATTTCGCTCAACCACTTTTATTTGTAAAGAAGTGAGGCTATCCCTCAAAAAAAAAAAAAAAAAAAAAAAAAAAAAAAATTGAGGCTATCTAGCAGTTGATGACTTGAACTGTAATTCATTGACATTTTCTTACATGACAGACGTGGAAATCTCTTCCTGATTCAAATGAGGTTTTGAGAGAATTCCCAGGCCTTGTAATAAACAGCATGGAATCAACTCTTGACAAATTGGCTGCCTCAAACATGTTCTTCATAGCAAAGAGGAAAAATGCAAACCAGGAGGTGTTGTATCTCTCAGCCAAGATTCCTAGAGGAATTCCATTTTTGATCGAATTGACTGCAGCAGCCGGAATCCCTGGAGTCAAATGTGCAGTCAAGACACCAAGCCCTGAAATGGCACCCCTGTTCTTTGAAGCGCTTGAGCATTTTCTCCAAAGTTGAAAGATACTTTCATCCTCGTTACCCCATTGAAGAATCTGTATACTTGTAAGCACTATTGCTAGGTTTTGGGGGGTTTGTCATCTATTTTCCTCCTGTTTGTCATTTGTGTTCATGCTGGTTTCTGGTTAGTTAAAATCTTGTTTTCCGGCCAATTTTTGAGGTTTGTAAGGCGAGCTATAATTTCACTTTCTCATTTTTTTTTTTTCATTTTATCAAAGGGTGTAATTTAATTGGTCAAGAATTTTAGTTTCTGATTAAATTTTCTTTACCTCAATTGATTATCTTTGAGCTGTATTGATTATTCGGTCTAAAGCATCCCTTGTTTTGAAATTACGTATCTATTTGCAATGACGTTAGAATAGAAGTGCGGTATTACTTGCAAAGATGCAATGGCATAATGGCAGTATTATGTTTTGGTCATTGTAGAATACTCCGTATAAAATTTGTAAGCCGTATTTTTTTTTTTGGTTGGTAAGGAGAAGGGCCCTATCGAACCGGAACCTCTCACAGGTCCTCCCGGCCTGGATTAGCGGGATAGACATTTTGGAAGTGGGAGAGAGAAGGGTAAATGTAAGCGAATTCCCAACCCAAAGTGCCTCTAGTGGGGTTTGTATCTCACAACTTTTAAGTCGTGAGATACAAACCTTAACATTAGACCAAGCTATTTATAAGCCATATATGTATTCAATTTTTGAAAAAGGAGTATTTGGGGCGTATTTTCAAAACTAGCTGAAATTTGACTAAGAAGTCGTGGAAAGTTAGAAACAATGGTAGCTAAATTCTCGTACCAGATTTCCAACAATTGACTTTGTTTTTGAATTTTGTGACTGTTCGTGACCTTTACATTTTTTGGTGAATTTGCTTATTTACTTGGGTAGTAGAACCAACCTACATAGCCAACATAGGTCAACAATTTTTATAATTTGTACAATTAGTATATTACTAGTACATAAGAATTACATTAGGTTTAAAGAAGTCTTGCAATTAATTAGAAATAGATGGAAAAAAAAAAAGTAAGTGTTGCAATTAAAGCGAAACAGGTGGAGTAGGTTTAAGTCAAATTTCAAAATCAATTAAATTTTTAACGAATCTAGTTAATATAAATAAATATTAAATACAATAAACTTAGTACAGTACTCTGTAATTATGTATGTAACTATTTTTAACTATTTTTTGGGGATTTTTTTTTTTTTTGGTTTGTTGGTTTTTTCTACGCCACTTGCTATTTAATCCCAACCTTGTTTGCCAAAAATTGGCCTTGCTTGTTCCCTAGTAGTCTAGTACAGTTGCAACTATCCTGTTTGTAATCCCCAAACAAGAATAAACTTGGAGTATTAATTAGATACGGGAAAGGATCTTAATAATTTAATTTTTATAATTCACCCATAAAAACCAAAAATAATTTGATAATCATACTGAAAACGAAATTAAGTTTTACTTGCGATCTAGAATGAACTTTTATGTAAACACACCTCCATATGGGAATGAGTGTTAAAAACCAATTTGTAAATGAAACTATTAGCGGAATATGGGATTGATAATATGTCAAAAAAAAATCGCTTAATTTATACGTTCTAAACTACTTACGCCTTTAATTTTAAATTAGAACATGTGCGCGAAGTGAACTGCTATTGGTCAATAGCCAATTAAGGAAGTAAATCATGGTTAGCCATGCCATAAAGTTACATTGAAGGTGACAAAGGCCCCAAAAGTGTGTCTTCCCATTAAAGGTAATAATTCATGCACAAAATAAAATCCTTAGTTGTCCTAATTTCTCAAGTACTATATATATTTCCCCTTAAAATTCCTCCAATTTCTCTGAAATTCTATTCAACAATTCATTTCTACATAGTACAAAAACTTCAACTTTCCCTCTTCCTCCTTGCCGAAGCATATGATTAGCAACCAAGTAACGATCATGGCGGTCTTTTACGTGTTGTGTGTATCTTTGTTAGCAGTGAGTTGTTATGTTACTGGTGAAAATAACACTAGCGATCTTTACAATGTTTGGAGTAAGAATTACACTCCAATTATCCTCAAACCATTTGAATGGTCTTACCTAAGAGGTCAGTTTTTACTTTGTTATTACTCGTATCTAATGCACGGAATATAATTCTTTTTTTTTTGTCAGGGATCTTATTTTATATAATATAATCATTATGGAAGAAAATTTAGAAAATATACCATGTAAATAAATTTTCTTATGAGATAGGTAAAGTTGATTATAGTTTTATGTAAATTATTATAAAATGATCAGTTTAATTTTTTTTTTTTTTTTTTTAAGAAAGGAATTATGAAAATTAATAGCTGTATACTGGTGCAAGGTTATAATATGTTCATTTAATGATTAGATGAGTAATAATAAGTAAAATGAGCAACAACAATATCATTGGGCGGCTGGGCGCTCCTTGCACCTTTGTTTATACAAGAGTTTCTAAGGAAATTAAATGGTTCACATGTAAGATTTTTCTTGTACGTAAGATTGTTAGAACGAGTATTTTTTCAAAAATATGTTATGTAACAATTTAAAAAGTATATAAAGTCGTACATCCATTTAATTCTCTCAAAGCTCTATTTTCGACATTCAAGTCAATTCAATATATATCTTCATTCATCAACACAATTATATCCTATGTTAATGACTTCAAGGAGAATGAGTCAATTTATTAAACAGAATTCACCAATTAAGCTCTTAGTGGAGTCCAATTATGCATAATGCAGTAGTTGAGGTTTTTTCCAACATTAGTAATGTAAACTAAAAATAGTGTCTGATTTTTTAGTGTGAATGTACTGATTATGCTGTATTAGTAGCAAGTCCTTTGATCCCTGTGATTTGCAAACCGCTTATAAAAATAATGAGGGATTGAGGTGGAAAATTTCCATACTCATAGTAATGATATGCAAATTTTGCATATTGTGGCCCAATTAACCCGAAAATACCCTTTACGATATCCATTTTTAGGGTATTGCGGATTTGCGGTTATATATTTGGCATGACGCCAAAAAAAAAAAAAAAAAAGAACATGTTACGAATTTGGCCACCCTAGAATGGGTGCCATTCTTGTTAGTAGGCTATGGCTCTCTCTTTAACATTATACCATCAATTTTTTGTTTTAAATAAAAAATAAATAAATAAATAAAATTCAATTTTTTGAAGATTGTTTGATGTCAATATCAGAAATCACCTTCTCACTTTGTCCTAATGTAATGTGAATTATGACAAATTAGAAATAGGACGAAAATGACATTCTCAATTTAGGCTTAAGGACAAGTTTTTGCCACTTTTTACTTTGTTTTTTTTTTGGACACGGTACAAATTTGCTAAGGATCAACGTGAAATTGACCTGCAATTTGCTTTTCTAGACAAGTCATGGATAAAAAAAATTGAAAAATTGTAGTACTTTTAGAAGTTTTACTTTGCATGCTAGTGAAACTGATGATTTGATATAATAAGTTAAAAAAAAAAAAAAAAACAACAACAACAATTTCACACCCAAATTGTTTATAAAGCAATTGAGACCATGCTCGTATTAATTGCACTTGATCAAGGTACGAAACTATTTTGTTCGGCTTATTTACACATAAAAAAAAAAAAATAAAATGGTTAAGTTGATAAATTGATATGTTCAACTGGGTGAATAGAACGCACCATAATAAGTACTTTGTATTAATCTAATACGTCCAAAAATAAAATTCATTTATCTTGCCACATTCAAGACTACATAGCTTGTAAATTCCTTGTATGTAAATGTTTCTTACTTCTTAGTTTTATTATTTCATAGTTGAGCTGCCACCGAGGTTCTCTGCCCTGACCATTGCCTTGAACACAAATATAGAACTAGTAAGCTTACTTCATACTAGTACATGTTAAATAGTGTTTATTCTAAGATTTCTAACACACTTATAATTTCAAATGTGACAGTTGCCTCAATTATGTTACATAATGCATTCTGTTTATTAATAACAGGATTCAAAATTCATAAGCAAAAGGGGTGCGCATCGACTGCCTATGATGTGCTTTCGACAAGGAGGTCTTCCTCTTCCTGATTTCTCAAAGGCTGCTCTAAAAAACTTCGGTACATATACCATGTTTTGGATTCAAGTTTAAATAATGACTCAATCAGTTTCTATGCTAGGATATGCATACCCTTTTTCTTCTTTTAAATTAGCTGAAACTTTTGATATGTATATTTTGTTTCTTGTTGCAGTGCTAGATGATGTTTATGATCAATCAAGTAAGAAGCTTCTCGCTTTAAGTATTGATAAATGCTATGTTATGCAAGATACTATGTGGCCTACAATGTCAAATGAGCAGGTTTATAATATAATTTCATAATATAACATTGTACAAAAGTTTTAACTTTTTCTTAAGTGAACTTATGTTAAAGGTTTGTTCTTAACTGATGCAGATTAAAGAAGGTGTTCTGTTCATAGGTCTTTTCAATGGTATCGGACCAGCTCGAACTCAGTCTAAAATGGTACGTCTTTCCACTATAATGTTCTCCGAGTTACAGTTTTGATTTTTAGTAGATGACTTTGAGAATCAACAGATCAACAGAGGTAGATCTTACACATTCAGCGCCTTTTTAAGTGTTGAAGCATGTAATAGAACTATTTTCTGGGGACAATTCTGTGACAAGAAACTTCACCGACTTCAATGTGTTCCAGTGAATAGCCATGATGATAATACACAAAGTAAACAAGTCATTGGAGGGAGTGAAGTTGCCTGCAGAAACCACCTTCGTTCTTGTCACATGCCTGATATGAGTCCAAAGCTCTTCTTTCTGAATGTCGAAAACATGTCAGTGGAGTTGAGATTCTCAGCTTATGATATCAGATTGGGAAATCAATCTATTAGAATTAATGACACAGGACATGGTGCGATATCTTTGATCGTTTATGCAAGAAATGGTGCAGTCCCAAGTACTAGTTTGTATGACTATTTCACTGATATAAGCAGAAAGCAACTCGTGATCAAAACACCAAAGCTCGGTACTTGGTACTTCTACATTGTGCCTGATGTTACACATACTGTAAATGTTAGAGACAAAAGTCTTCATAAAACACAAGTGAAACAGCTCTGCTATTCCTTGAGGTGGAAAATCCTGAATTATCCTTTACAGGTCAGTGAGTCAGTCTTTACTCCCTAACAACATGCTTGTTTCTCAGTTACATTTCAACTTAATTGACCTTAGCTTAACAAAATAGCCAAGATCGACTGTTCTTTTTTACTTGAAAAAAATACAATAAGAATCAATTTTAGCAGAAACAATGTTAATTAGTGGCCGTATATAAATGTGAAAAGCACTAGAGAATTGATGAACACAGTTTTATTCGGTAATATATCAGGTTGAAACAAAAAAAAAAAACCCTCGTTTTGATAGTATAATATATAAAAACCAAGTGAAGAGAAAAGGGCCTTTGTATAGAACTAATACTTGTTGTCTTTGACATGTGAATTTTCAGGAAAGCCCCATTATGGATGTGGATGGCACTAAGCTCTCGTCGATTAATTTTCCTCAAAGGATATCATTACAAGAAGATAACTTAGACTATCCATGGACGTATTATTTTATAGAAGTTCCATCAAATGCTTCAAGCAAAAACATTAGAATCGAGATTGTGTCAAATACAAGCATAGAATATGAACTATATGCTAGATTTGGTGGTCTACCATCTCTTAAGGTGTATGATTATTACTATGCAAACCAATCAAGTAACAGCAATAATGGATTTTCCTTGTTTAAGGTATATGTATCAAGCAATCAAAGGGTGAAATTCGATATAGTTAATGCTCAAGAAGGAAAATGGAGTTTTGGATTAATAAGGAGACCGAATTCCAGGAAGAATTTGGAGTCTCAGACCGACCTCTTCCTTTCTGTCGAGTCTTGTGCTGATAACTGTTCCGGTTATGGGACATGCATAGATGTTGATGCTTTGAGATCTTGCAGGTCTGCTTTGTTCATTCATGTTTATGTTCTTTATACATATATATTATTCAGAACTATTCTGCATTACTTTTCCATTTTCTGTTCAGATTTTCACAATTTCCTTCACTGATTTTTCAGCTTCTGTAAATGTGATACTTTCCATGGTGGGTTTGATTGCAGCATAGAAGTAGTACCGAGATCTGGTTGGAACCAAGCAGACATATAATTTCCCTTTTAATTTGTTTTGTATTGCCTTTTATCATCTTTTCCTGTTAAAAAACCAACTTGAATATAATGCAGAGCAGAAGCTTCAGATTTTATTTCTGGTAGTATCAAATGCAGCAGCTTTACTTCCTGCAATTTGTGCCCTTTGGAAGAGAGTAAGGCCTTAAATATGTCACTGTGAAAATTGAAGACTTCCTACGTTCATAGTTTACTTATATTATGCGCTTTAGAGCCCTTCATAATCTAATCACATCATGGGACTATACTTGAATGCAGTCTTACGCCGAGTGGGTGGTTTTTCTCTCTAGTGGAGTCGCGAGTGCTATCTATCATGCTTGTGATGTAAAGTGGAGATGTGTTCTGGAGTATGGTACACTACAGGTAAATATTCTAACTTGTTACAATTATTATACTACATATTCAAATTCATTTGCTTATTAGGTTGTCATAGTAATTGTTTGTCTTACATTCTACTTTCGAGTGCTTTCAGTTCATGGATTTCTGGCTCTCTTTTGTGGCTGTGATAAGCACATTCATATATATGGTTTCTGTAAGTGAAGCTTTGAAGAGAGGCATTCTTTCAGTTGTGTGGATTCTCATAGCACTCATGGCGCTGAGTGATGCCACCAGGTTAGTTTTTACGATTTATTTACCATTCAGCCAATTTTATGAGATCTCAACTTCATTAGCAAACTTGAATTTCAGTTGTGATGCATCAAAGTTTAAATATTTTTGCAGTTCCAGAAATATAAAATTTGTGATAATCATTGGTGTGGCGTGCCTTCTCATTACATGGCTGGTAGAATCATCAACCAAATTGATAGCATTCTCTACCCATTCTCAAAGGTTATTACAGGAGTGAATTCTTCTGATGATCTGTTCTTTTATTTCTCACTTCTATCAATTATCAAGAAAAAACTGGCTAAAACTTATACAGAATACTGCACAATTTCAGCAATATCTGCAAAATATAATCGGATATAATTCTAAAGGCATCACACTGGCACGTTGCAATGCACACATATACATAAATTTCCTTCTTATAGACATTGTAAAATGTTTGTACAGGCCAACGATATCTAGTTCATGGTTCCTTGAAAATATGAAGAAAATGCTCAGAAGCTTTCGTTGGAGGTTTCTGGTAGCAGGTTTTGTTGCATTAGCCTTGGCAGCAATAAGCTGGAATCTAGAAGACATTGAAACTTACTGGATTTTTCACAGGTACAGAACTTTCCTCTCCTGCAACAAAATTACAGGCCTAATGTAACAAAAATTGTTGTGTACTTCGTTTGTTAGAACTAATATTATGCCTTGGTCTATAACAGTACATGGCACGTTGCAATGTACACAGCAGCATTCTTCTTCCTTTGCTCCAAGGTTAACTTGCAAAGTGAGGGTTCGAAGCCTGATGAATAAAGCGATATGGCAGTCGCAACAACTAGATCAACTGACAGCAGTATCCCCTGATGTTTGTGATGTTGCTGTCAAATTTTCATAATACAGAAAGTCAGAATAGATACAAAACAAAACCAAAGATTGGTTGATTATAGTGATATACTATGCTATTAAGATGATAGGCCGCCTCCAGAAGATTGTCAGGCGCTAAGTTTTGCTGACTGATTTTTGTCACTGAATTTGTGATAAACTGTAAGGCAAAGAAAATGTATAGCAAAAACAAAGAACCAAACAAATTTTCATGAAAGCCATTATAAGTTCAAAATGCTCTTTGTGTTTTCCAGCCTGCTTTCTGCCTGACCTCATCCTTGATAGAAAATACTAATCAATCTCATTCAATACAAGAAGAAACACTATTGACTAGTCTCATTTCTCAAATTTTCACGAAATCATTGGTGATACCGGAGATAAATAAGGAGAAATTCCAAGTTTCTCAACATGAGAAATAAACTATGTTTCTCAAATGGCAAAGACGTAAATAAAATCACTTTTTTTTTTACTGTTCATTGGCAAAACCGCTATGTTTCTCAAGCAGCGGTTTATCTGGAATTTTACAAATTTAATCTCTTGAGAAACAAATTTTATTTCTCATGTTGAGTAAATGGGGCGGCCTAATAAGAAAGTTAGTATTTAATACCGTGTGATGCACAATAATGTACATGATGGTAGACGCGTAGAGGAAAGGAATTAAAACTCGTATAGAGAAAATTGGATTATGATTACAATGCAAATTGTTCTTCCATCTCTTGAATACGACGATGTCTATTTTTTGCTGGAGGGGTATTATACTCAGTAAGTGGCCAAGGGAATCAAACAATTTTTGTATGAGGAGATTTTAAAAAGTGAATGATAACATTTTTACTGTGTATTTGTCGTTTAGAGTGCTTTCTTTTTTATTTGTCATACCACTTTAAACGACAACTGCCACCAAAGTATATGTCACATTACTTTGTGTATTGGTAGGTTAGACCGTTAAAGGTTCTACGGCTATTTCACCAAATGCCACTGACAAATTACGAAATTCATCAAATGCCATCGAACTTTTCAGAATTCACCAAATGCCATTGACAACTAGTATATTAACACAACGTGCCATTAATGATGTCAGGACGTTAGTTGGCCGTTATTGCGAAAATACTATTTTACCCTTTCTTTGTGTTTAATGCCGCCATTAAGAAGTTGATTGTCTGACTTCTCTTTTTTCAATTATTCAATTGTTGTTGGACCTTGTTCTTCCATAACTTCTCCCCTGTTCTTCGAAAGTTCACCAAAACTGAAACCTTGAAATCTCTGGCAACGAAGAAGCAAAGTTGGAGCATTGAACGACGGAACTCTGCAACAAGTTCGAACCCTTTGGTGTTCTTCATTCTGGGCGAACCCAGAAGTGCGAGGAAGTAGTGCCAGAACTTGAAGGAAGTTTGAAGTGCAAAATTCAGTTTGAGGGGTTGGAGATAGCACGCAAGGTAATAATCTATCCATCGATACTCTATTTCGCTTTTCGATTCTGATATTTTTTACGAAAATTGTGTTAGGGTTAGGGTTTTGCAAGATGATCAGTGCAATCTGTGTATTTGAATTGGCCTTTGTGAAATATTGAAAAAATGCATGTTAAAAACTGGAATTGTGGGTATGAATCTGTCAATGTGTGTTTTGGGGTAACCCGGTTTGTGTTTATCGTAGTAATTGTGTGCTTGAGAGTTAAATTTGCGAGTTGATCAGTATATTTGAGTGCATATGTGTTTGTTGATATGAATGATGTGTGTTGAAGTGCATTGTAGTAATAAGTAATTTGTTGTTCTTAGGATGAGTTCAGTGTGGCTTGATATTCATTACAAAGACCAGGGGTTTGATGTGAGGATTGAGGATACTGACAGAACAAGTCTAATGGACTTGTTTGAGTACATGTTTGAGGATTCAGAAAGGCAAAATGTGATCCTTCCCAAATACTTTAGTTTGTATGTAATGCCTCCTAGGACTAATAGGAAGTTAGAGTTAACTGGGGATACTCAAATGCTGCAAATGTAGGATTGGTATGAAGGTAGGGAAACAATACAAGTGTTCTTAGAGGAGAAGAGTGGACCTAGTGTGGTGTTTAAGGATGCTGTAGCTAGTTGGGAAAAAAGGCTTAAGGCAAAGGCTGAGAAGGAGAGAATAGAACTGGAAAAGGCCAAGAGGGTGGTTGAAGAGCAGGAAGCTGAGAGGGAGCTTATGGAACAGCAACAGTATCAAGTTGCAGTTGAGGTTCCTGTTGTAAATGCAGAGGAGATAAATGATGTTGAATATGTTAGGGTTTTTGCCACCCCAGAAGCTGATGTGGTATTTCCTGGGGAATCACAGCCTCAACCTGAACAAAGTACACAACCACCAACTCCACCAAAAAACTCTCAACCAGCCTCTCCTTTTAACCAGCCCAAGAAGCCATCAGCTAGGAAAAAAAGCACTCCTAGGAAAAAGAAAACCACTCCCAAAAAAAGATCCCAACCCCCTCCTCAACCACAACCCTCTCCACCAGTCCCTGAACCACAACCCTCCCCACCAGTCCCACCTGTCCCTGAACCACAACCCTCCCCACCAGTCCCTGAATCACAACCCTCCCCACCAGTCCCTGAATCACAACCCTCCCCACCAGTCCCTGAACCACAACCCTCCCCTGATCCTTCCCATGTACCTGTCAGTGAAGAAACAGAAGTCCCACCTCCACCTCCACCTCCACCATCTGCTCCAGCAAAAAAGGGGAGATCAAGACCTGAGGAATTTAGGTCAAAAAAGACTGCTTCTAGCAAGGGTAAGGGGGTTGGTGTCAGTCTGAGGAGATCAGCAAGGAACATGGCTACAAATGTTCCCGTCAGTGAAGAAAACTCTGAAGAAAACTCTGATGAGTTTGGAAGTGACAGTGAGGATGATGATTATATACTTTCTAGCAGTGAGGAAGATGATGATGAGGCAGATCTCTGTGATTTCATAGAGGATGAAAGAGACACAGATGACCTTCATGATGATGTTCCAGAGAAGCAGTTTCAGGATTTTTTGGATGGCAGTTCAACAATGGATAAAACATATAAAAATGGCAAAATTTGGACCAATCAGGAGTTTGGATCCATCACTTTAGAGCCATGGCTCATATTTGCAGACAGGCAGTCATTTCTGGATGTGTTTAAGGACTACTGTGTCCAAGAAGGGTTTGGGGTTTATGTAGAAAAGAGTGACCCAACAAGATTGATAGCAAGGTGTGCTATTGACACATGCAACTGGAGGATTCATGCCTCCACTATGAAAGACAAGATCAGCTGGGCAATCAAGTCTCTAACAGGAGAGCATAGTAGTTGTGGGAGATTGGAAATAAATCCAATTGTGAGTTCTCAGTGGCTGTGTAGGCATCTTCAGTCAGACATTCATGCCAATCCTGACATACCAGTTGATGCATTACAGAAACTTTGTATGGAAAGGTTTAGGCTACAAGTGAAGAAAAGGCTGTTGTACAAGGTGAGGGCAATGTCCAAGGAGATTATCCATGGTGGTTATGGGGAGGCCTACTCAGTGTTGCCTAGGTATGCTGAAATGGTGAAGGAGACCAACCCAGGTAGTTATGCCCTGGTCACATGGGGTGAGGCCACTGCAACTGAGCCCCCAAGGTTCAAGGGCTGTTTCTTTTCTTTTGCTGCCCAATTAAGGGGATTCTTGAGAGGATGCAGGCCATTCATTGGCATTGATGGAGCCCACCTGAGTAGACGTTTCAAGGGCATTCTTCTAACTGCTGTTGGGATTGATGGGAATAATGAGATTTTTCTCATTGCATATGGAGTGGTGGGTTCTGAGAGTATTGACAGTTGGGGCTATTTTCTTAGGAATTTGAGGTGCTTGTTTGAGAAAGAAGGTTGTAGGAGAGATGATTGGACCTTCATCTCTGACAGAATGAAGGTAATCCACCCTCATATTCTTGTTCTTACATGTCACTCTTAGTTTAGTTTCTCATGTTTAACAATTACTCATTACACTGTTTTGTATGCAGGGGGTTGACACAGCAATTAATGAGACATTCCCTAGAGCAACAAGAAGAGTGTGTTGCCAGCACCTATACATGAACTGCAAGGCTAAAGGATTTAGTGGTTCAGCATTTCACAAGCTGTTCTGGATAGCAGCTGATGCATACAACGAGTATGTGTTCAACAAGGCAATGCAAAAGATAAAAGAATACAACCCTAAGGCTGTTGAGTACTTAGAGAGTTGCACTGAGGTCTGGTCAAGGCATAAGTTTGATCCTGCCCTCTGTTGTGACCATAACACAACAAATTTTGTGGAGTCTTTCAACTCATGCACCAAGCCATACAGAGATTTACCAGTTCTGAAAATACTTGAAGGTACGACTATTTTTGCATACTGTTTTGAACCATAACACTACTATGTTTGCATACTGTTTTGAAGCTGAACACACAAAAATATACTGTAATCCATGTTGTTAACACCTTTTTTTTTTGCATACTGTTTTGAAGCTATAAGGCAATGGGTGATGAAGAGGATTGGCTCAAGGTTTGACAAATCACTAACCATGGGGATATGGACCTGACTGAGTATGAAGACAAGATTCTACAAACAAGATCAGATGAGTCAAGGTTATGCTATGCTATTCCCTGTGGTGGGGATGAATTTGAGGTCAGAGACCAACATGTCCATTTTCCCATCAAGCTGAGCACTGGCATATGTGGTTGTGGGAAATGGCAGCATTCTGGACTTCCATGCAAACATGTGCTGAGGGTCATATACCACCAGAGGTTGCAACCAGCAGACTTTGTAGCCCCCTGTTTCAAAGGGAAGGCATACAAGCTCACTTATGCAGAGCATTTGCACCCTATGCCTGACCCATCACAATGGCCATCAGGGAACCTACCTGACATATTGCCCCCTTTGGTGAAAAGAGCTGCAGGGAGACCAAAGAAGCAAAGACAAAGAGGGCCAAATGAATCTAGGAGAGGGAAGAGGCATGCAACAGTAAAGTGCAGCTTATGCAGTGAGTTGGGACACAACAAGGTCACTTGTTCATCAAGGAAGAAAAGGGTTGCAACTGAAGCAAGCACATCAGCCACCACCTCTCAAGCCAACAACAGAAAAAAGAAAGCAGCATGAATGCAAAGTTTCTCCTGTTTTTAGTGCACACCCAGTTTCTCCATGTAATTTTTGAAGATTGACAGTGTTGTGTGTGCTATTTTGTGTAGTATATTTTGACTATAAACTTGTAATTAAACAGGAAGCATCTTTT